ACCCTAGATCTATGTCTTAGATTTAAACTGCGAACGTATCTAAGAATTAAACATGAATGTTTTATTGTTTTATAATTGTAGATTTTTCAAATGTTTCCTGTCAAGTTGTACCATCGAAAAACTGAACTATTTAACTTTCACTAGTTTTGTGAGTAATAATATGCATTAATAAGTTTGTACTATGTTCCACATATGTTAAAATTTTGATTTTTATATGATTTATTATTTTGACACATTTGTTTCGAAAACTGAATTAAATTTGTTATAAATTTGTTTCGGAAAATGTTATTGACACAAATTATGCGTCGAAAACTTTTTAGAAAGTTTAAAATTTCAAAAAGAAATTTACCAACAAAAGGGTTGTGTTGCTAATGTTTTAAGAAAATAAAATAAACAAAAAAGAAATTTACCGACACAAAGTATTGCATTGGTAAAATAAAATGAGAATTTTTTGATGCAAGACATTGCGTCGATAACTTTTTAAAAAATGAAATTTTAAATATTTAGAATTACCGAGAAAATAATTGCATTGGTAATATTTTCTTACTTTTTTTAATTTGTTTTACTGCACGGAAACTTTTTTTTAATGGTTATAAGTTTGAATTTCTTCAATTAAACCCTTAATCTTTGATAACTTTTAATTTTTTCAATTAATTCTAAATTTCGTTTATTCAATTTATCCCAATGCCAAAGATAATAACTTTAAATTTATTCAATTAAGTCCATTGGCTCTTGGTAATAACTTTTGATTTCTTCAATTAAGACCCTAATCTCCCTGAACTTAAAATTTTTTCAATTAAGTCCAAATTTCATTTCTTTAGTTAATCTGATTGACTGAAGGTGATAATTTTAAATTTCTTCAATTAAGTCCATTGACTCATGATAATAACTTTCAATTTCCTCAATTAAGGCACAAATCTCCTTCAACTTTTAATTTTTTCAATTAAGTTCAAATTTCATTTATGCAATTAAGCTCATAGACTCTTGGAATTCTCAAAATTTTCAATTATACTAATTGATTGCATATACATGTATATGCATATACATACCAGTATATATATATATATATATGTTAGATACTATATATATATGTATTATATGTGTATATATGTATGTGTGCGCGCGTGTGTGTTAGATGCAATATACATACATATTATATGTATATATGTTATATATATATATATGCATACGTACATATAATGTATTTATTTAAATGACAACAGTTACATATTTATCATGAAAAAATATTTTTTTAACTAATAGTCAACTAATATTTTTATTAAATAAGAGATGAGAATAGTCTAATGTTATTTATCTAATCAAATATTAAAATATTATTTGATTTATTTAAATTTTTTAAATTTTATATTTTAAATTTGTAAATTAAAAATTTTAAGAAAATTATAAAAAAATTAGCTTTTAATAATTTAATTTTACTACATCTTAGTTTTATTAAAAAAATTTAATTTATGGTTTTCTTTAATTTTATTTGACATTTTTAAGTTTAATTTGAACTAAAAGGCACTCAATCCTTTTCTTATTTTAATTAACTTAAATGAGACTTAATCTCATTCTTATTTTAACATTCAAAATAAAACATAAAATAAAATTTTTTAACAAACTTAAATTTTAGTAAAATTAAATTATTAAAAATTAGAATTTTGGATTCTTTATATTTTATTAAAAATAATTTTTAACTAAATCAAATAATACTTTAATGTTTAATTAAATAGATAACTTAGGAAAGTGAAATTGGTCACTTTCATATCTTCTTGGAAAATCTCACTATTAATTCCTTAAGTTTAAATTAAATATGATATTATTCCCTTAAATTAAAAATATAACATTTTTATCCCTTAAATTTAAAAGAAGTTCCAACGTGGTCTCTCAAATCATTGTTCAATTATTTTTTTAACTATTTTTCAGTTACTTAAATATCACATGTAAAAGTTAGTAAGGCAAATTGTCATTAAAAATAATAGGTAGAAGAAAAGAAACAAAAGAAGGGATATAGCAAATCAAAACTAGTATATATGATATAAAGAATTTGGTTTGTTTAATTATATTAAAAATGTTTCACTTATTTTTAGACAATTCAGAATTTTTATATGAAATAAACTACTTTTAAATTTAAATCTAACATGAAAATTTAAATATTGCACGTGATATGCATATAACTAGAATTCAACTAGAAGTGGCCGAAATTGATTGTAAAATGGACCGAAAGATTACATGAGAACTTATATTAAACTTGAGTGATAAAAATATTATATTTTCAATTTGAGAGACTAATATGATACTTAATTTAAATTTGAGAAACTAATAAGATTTAGACTCCCTCTTTTAAAAGAAGCTATCAAGTAATCATTATCCAATTGTTAGCCAAATCAAAAAAATATTTTTCTAATAAAAATGAGATTGTGTGTCATTTAATTAAATTTAAAAATAAGAGTATGTTTTTCCACCCATATTAGTATAAAATGTTAGGAATGAAAGTAAAAGAATTGGAACTAACGAATAATATTGATTTTGTTTGAATTATTGTTTGGATGAAAGTAAAAAAACTTAAATTTAAATTTTTTAAGTCAACAAAAATGGAAGAGAAGTGAAGTAGTTGTACTAGTATTATTATGGTTATTGTTATTATTATTATTATACACTATTTGTAACAAATGAAGGAAATAATTAGATATATTTTACTACAATTTTTCATTAGTTATTGTTTAATCAAACAATAATTAATCAAAATACATACTTCAAATGTTTTGTCATGTGCCAAATATTAATTCATTCGGCATCCATATGCTAAATCCTAATTGATGATTTTTTAAAAAAATTATAAAGTATGAAAATAAATGTATAATTAAACAACATATTAATTATTGGAAAAAGAAAATATTAAATTTTAAACATGAAAAACTAATTAAAAGAGCATAGAGAGCTCATAGAAAAAATGGTTGTATTCAATGTTAGGTCCTGATTCAGTAAGTTGATGGATTTAACAATTGTTAAATTAGTCTTAAATATTAATTCTAATAGTAATCTAACATGAATTATAATCCCTGACACGGTGAATAAAAAACTAATATCAAATAAATCAAATCCTTCTATATTGCACAGATAAAAGTTTATATAAAGCCATAGAAATAGAGAGACAAGATATAGAGTTAAAGTTTAAAATGAAGCAATGTGGATTAATAGCAGCTTGTTCTATCTATTTATAAACATGGTATTAGTGAAATAAATTGAGACATTGACCCAAAATGCTGATTTATTTGGCAAAAATGGAAATAAGGTTAAAAAACAACATAATGTTTTAGGAATAATATGATGATTAGTTGAACAATGTAATGATAATTATAATTCAAGGTAATTGTAATTTTTTAAACATAGTTTTAATGCATGAAGCAGAAGCACCAAATTAGTTTATAAGCTTGTAATTTCTGCTTATGATGAAAGCATTTATATGGTATATTGATTTTATTTTTGTAAAAACCTTTGTGCTAAAGATGGTACCTAAATGTTAATTCAATTGAACTAAAAGAAATTAAAGCCGAAAACCTGACATACCAAAAGAGAGAACTCTCCCCAAAACTAAGGGAAGCCAAACATTCTAAAATTTACTCTCGAATTAGTCCTAATAAATAAAGCCAAATAAGATAACTCTTAATCATCCTAACAAACATGAAGATAAACCCAAAACTAAACAAACACAAAGATAAAGCCGAACTATAAATTATTCTTAGTCTCTAAAAATAATCTCTAACTAATAATTATTTCTAACAATTTTCAATACTTGAGATTTTTTAAGATATATGAAAAGAAAAAAGAAACTTATAATATCTAAGGGTCAAAAGTCAATGAAGATTTAAACAAATGGATTATGTTAATTTCATTTGCCAATCTAATTAATTAATTTTGTTTATGGTCTCAACTACACTAATTTGGTATGTTAATATGCTCTGCGTACGTGTGTGAATTCAGAGATAAATATGTCAATTTTATTAAAAACTTACATATTAATCCCCGAATTCATACTTGTATATATTAACATAGCAATTTGTTTTCCTTGTTGAAAGCAAAAATGTTTATCATACATTTGTTTTGTCTTAGATATTTATTTCGTAAATGTGGGGACTAAACTAACTATTTATTGTGTCCACACTTTTATGGTATTAATTTCTAATATTATCCTTGTTTATTTTTTTAAATACATATATTTTATATTGTAAATTAAGGAAGAATAAAACTACTTATTAAAATTATACATTTATGTGTAGGTATGTCTGGATAAATACCATAATTCATGTAAATCAAATCATTTTTAATAATTAATTCTTATTTGTTTTCTTTATATACGTGTATATGAAAAAGGAATAATTTATATAAATTAATTTCTTTCCAATAATTAATTTTCATTTTTTCCATATATGTGTGTGTATGTTTGTGTGAAAAATGAAAGCAGTTTTTATGAATCAATTTCTTTCTGATAATTAATCCCTATTTGTTTCTTTTTTTTCACATATATATGAAAAAGGAAACAATTCATTTAAATTAATTACATTTAATAGTTAATTTTCATCCCTTATATGTGTGTGTAGCACAATAATGCGGTATGGATCACATGTTTGAGGAGAGCACACTTAATTTCATTTTTATAACTAGCTTTCGTCACATAAATTAATTCTTTTTCACAATTAATCTCTATCTCTTGCGTGGAAAACAAATGATGTGATTTAGGCCAAATATTTGAGTTGATGACATCTAATTTTTTTTCTTTACAAATCATTCATGTTTTGTAATATTAGAAGATTATTGCAAACAGTTGCAGGGTTTTACAAAAATTTTTGAAAGAGCCAAAATCAAATTTGCGAATATTTTTATTTATTTGTGGGAGCAACTACATGTATTGAAAAAAGCCTTTTTTCTTGGCATGGCTCCCTCCTAGACCAACAAAGCTCTGTAATGGTATCAATATGATGGTACGTTTGTAATTATCAACTCGAAATGAGGAGATAGTAAAGAATTTGGTTCCAAGCATCAGGCACTCCAGCAATACACCAGTGCGTGCAATCTACTCCTTTGGCCCCACCGTAGCCGTAGATGGAGGGGTGCCCATCTTTTCTCAGCAGCGACAATCCCGTTATGTCTAGAAGGCTGACAGGCTTCTTGATCTTACTTAAAGCTCTCTTAAGGGCTGCCATTTCTCGCGTTGGATACTGCCCCGGATATTTGCTGCCCAGTATGGGGGTTGTTTGGTTCACACATTTGTTGGCTTTCGGTTCGCCCCAGACTTCTGGACTGATAATTTACAAGTTCATAAGCAAAAAAGAAAACTGGATAAGCTTCTTTTCAAAATTCGAAGAGATCGAAAAGAGCTGAAGTAGATTAAGTAGCATACTTGTAATGGTTGGGAGAGATCCCCTGGAAGAAGACCTTAGTTTTGTTGGTGTCAACGTTGGCATCCACCCATTTGCCCCATGTTTCCACTGCCTTCTCAAAGGCTTCCAGCCTATCGAAATCCTTGTATTGCTTGTTTCCTATCTTAATGTAATCCCACCTGTAAACCCAACAATCATTTAGTCACTCAAAGGTTTATTCTCGTATCTAAAACTAAAATTTTATTCAGGGTGTGTCATTATTCTTCCTCAAACTCAAATATATATTTCATATAATTGAACTTACTATATTTTCATGGGTAAATAAATACCTTACCATTTTTATTCATACTAGTTAAGTAAAGATTTTTTCCTTAATTTTTGTAAATCCCACCAAAAAATCCAAAAAATAAAAAAAATCTTGGGCTGAAAAATGTGTCAAAATAATATTTTAAGAAATTTTTTACTTGAAAAAATATTCTAATATGATTGAAAAATAGTGTTGCCGTTGCAGATATAGACTACTATTTTTTGAATTAGAAAATGAAGAGGATCTCTATATATGGTTGAGGGGAGGGCGGGCTGAACGTACGGTTGATGGGGAGTCTGTAAGACCACCAGTGGAAGGTGTTGAAGATCATCAGGTCAAACCCGGTCCAGTTTCCGGCATCCTTCTGGACCGAGTCCAGATCCAAGATCCGGCCCTCAGCCGTATCCACGATATCCACCAAATACGCATTCCGGTCCAGCACCACTTTGAGTTTATATTTCTGCAACGTTAAAACAAATTAATAATAGTACCAATTTAGTAATTTCGTCTCTTGAAGCATGTAGAATTTTCTTTCAAATTTTTAAAGAAATTTTACGATCAAGTTTTCGAAACTTCTTTTTTTTAGATTATATCAAGAAACTACAAGATTTGATTTTAGAAATTTTTAATTAAATTCTGACATCTCACGTGGGAGAAAAGGAAATTACTATTTTAGACATGTGAGATAACGAAGGAGAGGTAGGAGCAACGTGACATACCGGGATAGTGAAGGTGGAGACCATGCCCACCCGGGTTAGATTGGTTTCCAAGTTAGGAACAGAGGTAGAGAGCAAGCATAACAATGAAAAATACTGATCTCTAGTCAATGAATCCCCCACAGACAGGATGCTCTTTCCTTGGTATCTCTCCAAGAATTCTCGCCCATTAAACCTGCCAACAACAAACCAAAACACTATCAATCCAACAAAACAAACAAACACGCGCTAAGAATTACGGTGATGTTGATTCTTGGTGTTCAAGCATTGCTCCCACTCCTCCCATAAAGAGATGAGACCGAGATGTGGATCTCACTTGTAAAGATAGTGTCTTTATTGTATTTAATATCAAAAAATCGAAAATTCACATGCACGCGCAAACACACACATACATGTATATTGTATCAGTTTTTTTTATTTTTTATTTTCCCTAGGATTTAGTGTGTTGGTATAAACCCAACTGTATGTTGGTGTACATATATGTGTATGTATGTATGTATGTATGTATGTATATACAAAGCTTTGTGAGAGCTAAAAGGTGGTGTATTAGATAGAGTTTTTATCTCATGGTTTGATTTAAAGGCCCTGCTTTGCTAGTCTCAGGATGGGATAGATCCTCTACAGTAAAATGGTGCAATGAAACAGTAAAGTAAGATGCTGATTCAGTAAAAATTAAAATTTAAAGTTGGAACTGGAAGGTTGAATCTGTGAACTTTAAAATTGATATGGGGGAAAAGTCAAAGGGCTAGAAGAAGAAGGGCACCTTGGCAAATCGCAGCCGGTGGGTTGCCACCTGTACTTGAGGTATTGGGTATCAGGACGCCCATTCTTTTTGCAGTCGTAAGCTCTTTCAATGAAGGGACATTTGCTGGAGTCATAGAGAGGGTATGACGGGTCATATACCCAACTGCCCTCGTACAAGTTGCAATCACCTAAACAAATTTTTGTACTCTTCAGGCCTACGAGAAAAATAAGCATAAGTATTGTAGAAAAGCCAGAAACCCAGAAATAAGCCATTTTCGACACAGAGAGAGAGAGAGAGAGAGAGAGAGAGAGAGAGAGAGGAGTTATCCAAGAATATCCCCCTCTATGTAGAGGTTAGCGCCGATCTGACGCGTCACAATCGAGAAAATATTCTGTGGTTTTAAAAATGGTAAATGAGCAGCCAGAAAATATTGTGTATATGCGTGTGTGTGTGTGTGTGTGTGCAAATTTGTGTGGGTTGTATTAAGAAAATCCATAAACTAAATATGGTAATTAACATAATTACCCAAATCAGTCATCAATCATTTTACATTATAGTCTAAAATATCTTTAAATATAAACAGTCATTTATTATATATAGTAATTATATATTTTTAGAATTAAAAATATTTAAAATTCACCGTGCTTTTCCTAGTTTCCTAATTCAGATATACGAGTTATTCAATTTTTTAAATAAAATATAAAAAAATTAAATTAAATTACTTACCTAATTTTTTAAAGAATATTTAATGTATTCTTCCATTTATTTTCAAATTCACATGATTATCAAGCATGTGAATACATTAAACACTATTATGACGCGACATTAATCAGTTTCCTAAGCCATATTTTGTTTATGTTTAATTTTATTAAGATAAGGATTACACGTGTGAAGTGATCACTGGTCCCTTTATTTTTACATAAATTTGTTAAATCTTTAACGGCAGGGTAACAAGCCTTAATTAATGATTGCGTGAAAAAGAAGGTAACGGTTAAATAAATCTCATAAATATTTTAAAAATTAATAGAAAAAATTACACGTGATTAAAATTTTTTAATCTTACGTGCATAATTTTTGTAAGTTTAATTGAAATTTTCTCGTCCTTAATTTTAGGAAGTATATTAATGAGAATATCTACTGACTGATGAAAGACAAGGGAAATTCATTTAAAGTTTTATATTTTAGAAATATTCATATTTGTGATTAAAAATAAAATAATATATACGTGCATTTTGTATAGAGAGAGAGAATTTTTAGGAATGTCACTTAATGTAAATAATATGACTACGGAGGATGAATTTGAAAATAAGGGAAAGATTAAGATGGTGATGTAATTATTAATATTATATATATATATATAATATTATGTAATAGGTGGCTTTACATATAAGATAGTGATATAATAAGCAAGATTATAAAACCCAACATGATTAAATATTTTTTAACAAATTTATCCTCAGTTCGAAAAAAAAAATATCAATTTTTTATATGATTGGGTTGAAGCAATAATTTGATTTTTACTTTATATTTCATTTTTTTATATTTATCTATACACTAATATATTTATTTTGGCATTTCATGAACTGGAAAATGAGTGATAAAAATAATTGAGAATCTTGTATATTTATTTAACATTTAATTGTGGGAAATGGATTTGGAGTTTGTTTTGTCAAAGGTTGGTTTCACTTAACTGGATGCACTTTGCTTCCATAGATCCAAAAGGATAAAGATCAGGCCATTTTCAGTTCAATACATCTTCTCCTATTTAATTAATTTGTATAATTTATTTCACTATACATGCTTTAATTTTTTTTTAAAATTAAATCACAATAACGTGATATCCTGTTTCACGTCAATTCTGAAAATGATATAATATAATATCTAAAATATTATAAATTATTATTAAATATCTTGAGTTTAATTATTTTAGAATAATAATTCAGACTTTTAATAAGTTTGTAGAATCAATAGTTTTTGAGTCATTATAATGATATCGAAACAAAAGCAATCTTCAAACTTATTCTGTTTTGGTACTAATACAGATTTGTGATTTAACAGGAATGTCAAGTGTTTTAGGAGAGAAGATAAGAATATCTTGTCCTATATTGATTTTTGAGAGTCATATAATATAATATATTAAAAGATTAAAACTATTACTAAATAATTTAGATTTAAACATTTAGAATCAATAGTTCAGACTTAAAAAATTAGTATGTTTAGTAACTTTGGGATAGTGACACATAATATATATATATATATATATAATTCTAAAAATCTGAAATCAAATAAACTTTTAATTTTTTTAAAATCAAATATATAGGTCACATAATTATGTTCACCTTTACAATATACCTAGACTCGGCTAACTTTGTTCTATTTTCATTCCTAATATGTCACTTTTCAATCATGACCATTTAATTTTTTATAAAAAAAAAGGTAAGATAGGAAAAGTCACACGGAAATTATCAAGTCTGATCAACTTGAGACCACCCGTGCCCGTTTGGCACGGCAAAGAGTAGCCCACGGATGAGGTCTTCCATCTCGCTGTTGCGAGTTTACAACCCGAAAGGTCTGCAGTATTTAGACTTTTTCCACAATTTTTACATTTTCTTAAAATGTAATATGAATTTGAATCTACTACAAACCAAATTGAACGGTCTGGCCGTAATTTCATGAACGTCGCTACCAGAGTAAGGAGGAAGGAGAATCAAAGAAGTTTTGAAAAGGTCAAATGATATATTAATTAGTCAAAGAAGTAAATATCGCATTTTTTAATATAGATAAATAGGAATAATTCTTACAAAAATTAGAAATATTTAAAATGAATAAAAATGGAGGATGATTCTTATGTTCAATTGGCTTGCTCTTTTTTTACGAGTGAAATGAAAAAAAAAAAGAAAGAAATATGAACATCTTTTTCCACATTTAGAATAAAAATTAGAAAAAAAAGACTTAATCAACTTCAAATGACTATCTCTCTTATTAAACAATGTGGGTAAGTATAATAAGGTATTTGTCTATTTATAAAAGTAGACTGCGTTCAATTCATGTGCATTGGACAGAATTAGTCTTTGATTATAACACGAGTGAGAATATATGTGATAAAGACAAAAAAAAAAAAAAAAAGATTATCTTCTAAGAGAGTAAAAATATTGGATAATAAAGAAAGCTTGTTATAATAATAATTTTCTGAGTCTGTTTGTAACTGCTTTTAGGAGATTTTACTTTTAAAATTATGAGAAAAATAGATGATCCTGAATTTAAAATTTAATTGAAGTGATAAAATATTTATAAAACTTATTTGAAGAACATAAATTCAATTTCTAACTCTCTTGTATTCTTCTCTTATTTTAGACAACTAATATATCTAAATAAATAGATAACTTCTATGAAAGTTGATTTGCAATGTAGCTTTTCCCCACCCAAATCACACCGTTCATCCCAACACCTTTTTTCTGTTTATATTTTCAAAATAAGAAAAGGATGGGAACGCCGCTACACCACTTGCCTGGTCAAGGAGGATTAGCCGGCCCACCACACACACACACACCACACACCACACCCCCCCCCCCACCCCCCCCCCCCCCCCCCCCCCGGGGGGGGTCTCTTTCCATGCATGCAAACGGACGTGTCGGATAAAACGGATTTTAAAGTTTAGGGATCTTTTTATGTAAATAAAAAACCAAACAAAAAGAATCTTGCTTAGAAAAAAAAAATTAAAAACTATATACCAAAAGTTCCAAATATTGAGTTTTAAAGAGTATCAAATTTTAAAATACTCATAATTTTTAAATTAGTTCAAAATTCAGATTTCCGTTTGCTCCCTTTTTAAAATCAAACTCATATCAAATTCAAAGTTCATATAATATCAAAAATCCCCCGTAATTTCCACTTCACATGCTCACCTTCAGCTGACGCCTCTTTGCTCCCTATATCACCTCTAAGTCAAGAATCCATCATTTTTATAGAAAGAAAGTAGGAAAAGTAAAGAAAGCAATGCAGAAATTGGAAGTCTATTCAACATGGGACCAACGACGCCGGTCCAGCACGACAACGAGCAATCCTCAGTCTTGGGATTTTACACGTCAGAGTTGCGAGTTTATTAATTAACTAAGAATAATTCTTATAAAATTAGAAATAGTGTCATGCGCGTGCTTAATCCAAAATCTTAAAAGAATAGTCTTTCTAAGTAGCTATCATGCAAAATAAGCAAAGAAAGAACGGAAGAAATATAATACAGAAAATCCAATTTTTCTAACCAGCCATAGTCACCAGCAAAAACTAATAGGGTTTTAACTTGTGACTCGTGTTAATGCTAGTTGGGAGGTCTAAGGCCACTTAAGGGCCAAAAGTCAACCGAACCAACGTGTGGCACACTAACAAGCCTTTTTGACCACTAGAGGGTGTGAGGCTTCTATTCTAACCTTGTGACCCACACCTCAAGATTACTCTCACTCAACACTCCTTGGATTCCTCTCCCCTAGACAACTCTTCCTTACCAAGCTCCCAAACTTACAACTCAAGTTCAAAAGAGAACAAAAGAGAGAAAGAGAGACACTTTTAGAGAGAGTAGCTATGAGAGACTTTATTGCTCAAGGCTTGAATGGATATAATTGGGAAGGTGAGACCCCCTATTTATAGGAGAACTCAATGGCAATTCTGTAAATACAACAATGTACAAGCAGCAAGGACAAGTGGAGCGCATTGCGCGACATGCCTCTAGGTGCAGCGCGCCTTGTGGCACTATCCGTATAGCGCACGCGTGTCATGCCCCATCCTGGCATATGACTGGCACTAAGGCTAATACCCCAGCCCTAGTAAGCTTCAGACACATATGACTTGTACAGAAGCGACATATCTTATATTACATATTCAACTTGTATTCAAATGGTTACATATAGATTTATTACATAACCAGGCCAAATCTTATCCGAGTAGTACATGGAGCTACTAAACACACAAAGGAAAAAATATACAAGATGTCCGTGCCTCGCTGTCGCACGAAAGGCTGGAACCGACTCACTGGACTACTCGGCACTTGATCGGAGCTACAATTTGGAGAGGGGGAGAAAGTGGTGAGCATAAGCCCAGTGAATGACAAGGCTATTCTACCATGCAGGGATATGTAAGGGACACAGTATACAGAATATGCTTCAATTAATAACATAATCTGTCAAAGCATAGTATCAAACATGGCACATGTAAGGGCATG